AACAATTGTAGAGAAAAAAGATATATAGGGCAGGAGTGAATGAATACCCAGGTGAAAAAATAAGCTTTACCTAACTCTCAAAAATCATACAAAAATTAACAAAAAAATATACTAAGGACTTAAATACAAAACTAMAAAACTTTCTGGAAAAAAAATCTTCAGGTTTTAGGGCTCTATWGAGAGTTCCTACATTCAACATCCAAGCATGATCCATAAAAGGAAAAATAAGCACTGCTGTCTTTCTAGGCCAGGAAACTCAAGTGTCACTTGTATATACCATACAGCCTTAAGGTCAGTGACAGATTTACCTGCAGATACATACATATCCCAGTTCTGTGTCTGAGGGTCCCTCTGGCCTAGTCAGGGATTTGAGAGCATAAAGCTGGCAGGTGAGCAGGAAAGGCTTCAATCAGGCACTGACAGCACTGGTAGTGATACAAAGATCAGGTAAGTAATGACACTAAGTAATTAAGAATGTATAATTAAGGGCATGCCATGATTGACACAACTGAACTAAAGCTGCATGATTAGTCTAAGGAATTGCTAGGACAACTAAGTGTGTTTTGAGAGAACAGCAAGAAAAGTTCAGAAGAGTTTCATGAACACTGAAAAGACCATCTGATAAAGGAGGCTCAAATCTGATGCTTAGAGATAAAATAGAAAGATTTTGCCTAAAGGAATACATACAAGTTAATGAAAATCTGCTGGGTCTGAAGCTGGAAGTATAACAGTGCAGTTGAGAACACAAGACCAGGAATGAGGCCTTCCAGGGAAATGCCTAGGAAGTTTCTGCAGCATTCCATCCCATAGAGGGCAAAAGCAGAATGAAGCTGCTCTCTTCCTGGCAACCTTTTAAAGAAAACCAGCCTATCTCTACAACAGGAATCCTAGGATTTATCTGAAGGAGTGCTTATGTAAGTACTGAAAAACAGGAGACAGGATCAATGATATCCCGATTCTTAAAGCACATTCATGGTAAAACATGGACTAGGACCAGATATCTTTACTTCTTTTCTGTAATAGACTGTTTTCTCTTTTTGTACTTTGTGTCTGCTCCTTATAGCATGATACCCATATACAATGGGGTGGGGAAAAGTGAAATTTCTACCCCTTAAAACGGAAGGAAAATTATCTTGAAATCCCAACCCCAAGGATTTTCAGTAGTACAGGGTCTTCTCTAAAATTTCTAAGGTGTGGAAAGTGGATACTGTTCTAATGGCTTTTGATTAAAGGAAGGGCTTTCTGGTATTCCACCTCTCCACACATGGTGATAGCCTGACTTCATACTCCGCAAAACCAGCTTATTACAGCGAGCACTTCCTTACCATGATTAAAGAGGCTGCCTTACTTAACCTACTTTTTTTTTTAAAGAGAGAGAGAGAATTTTTTAATATTCATTTTTTTAAAGTTTTTGGTGAACACAACATCTTTATTTTTTTAATGTGGTGCTGAGGATCGAACCCAGCRCCCCGCACATGCCAGGCGAGTACGCTACCACTTGAGCCAAATCCCCAGCCCATAACTTACTTTTTAGTTGGCTTTATTGTGTCCTCTTTCACTAGCAATTTCATCTAGTAATTGTTTTAGAGAGCAATGTTTCAAATCAAAAGAACAACATTGTTCAACTACATAAAAATTGCATATCACTGGAGCACCTTAGGATCTGGTAGTGACTACAGAGATCATTTAGGTTCCCCAGCATATTTGTCAAAGAATAAACTAAAGCCAAGAGGATATGCTCCAGGCAACTTAGTCAATAATAAGTGAAAATAGTATCTAAGATTTCTGCCAAATTTCTGGAGAATCAGTTTCTTCCTTTATGACTATTCTATATAAATAAATAAGATAAAGGAATAGCCTTAATAAAAGCAAACTACTAATATGTAGAAGCTGTTAATGTTCATTTTCTCAAAGTCCACTTGAGTGTCAACAACRCATCAGAGTGCAGAGTGGTTGTAATCTTGGGGACTTAGGAGTCATTAGGATTATTGTGTGAAACTCCACTTACCTGCTTTTTCTGTTTTTTTTTTTTTTCTGATACTTAGGAATATCTGTTGAGAATTTCAATGCACTGTGCATCATTATAATGTCATGTATGTTCTAAGAGTAGACGGAAGTGGAATAAAAGAAAATTTATTAGTATTAAAATTATATTAGGATTATTTTGTAAAGAAGAAGAAAACAAATTCTATAGCTTCCAGTGCTTGCTTGCAGTAAAGAAAACATGAGACAGAGATTATTGATTTAACAAATGGATGACTTTATTAAGAGAAGGACAAGACTGTTGTTTATCTCAGTCAAACCATCCAGAAAAACAAAGCACACATACTTATACAATACTTTGGTTTGAAAATTAGTCATAACATCAATGTTAAACCTGATGCTGGAAGAAACAAATGGGACATAAGGTGTAAAATACAAATCATGAAAACACAAGCTTGCATAGATGAAGTAATGTAGATATACAAGTGGTATCCCAGGAAGGCCTGAGCACTGGAGTGCCTTGATGATGTTGACCAACTCAACCTTCCAAGACACAGGAAAGGAACCAGCACCATGTTTCTCAAAGTCCTCAGTGAGGTTATGAGTAGGAACAATTTGTGCTGTATGAAAGTGAATTGAAATAGACTGTTTCCATCAGCCTAGTTCAGGTGGGCACATACATACCCACCAGTACCCACCACAGGTCACCTTAAGGCATCCACAAAGTGTCCCTCACAGTTTCTCTAGATAGGCATGTGGTTTGAGTTGGTCTTTTGTTTTCTGTCCTTAGACAAGGTAACTCTATTTTACCAAGGCTCTGTTCAGCTTTGTTAACAGCTATTTCAAACCTGCTTTTGCCTCAGGCTTGCCTATCAACTGATGAACACTTGAAATAACATTGACTTTGTTTCATAAATATACCCACACTCTGAATATCAAAAGGGTTCTGAAAAAAAATCTTAAGTGCCTCACACTATGTAGTCTCTCTCAAGAAATGACTTTTCCAAATTCTAAGACAAATGACAGTATCTCCTCAAATTTCCTGAGCAACCTGATTTATGAGCAGTCTCTTGTTCTTTTTAGTTCAGTACCTTTTCAAAATATATATTGGGTCAGGATGAATTCTTAGGAGAAACCCCATATTACAGAGAATTCTCATTTTTGAACATTATTTTTATATGTGATTTCCCCACCGAACCATCTTATTATTTACAGTGTTTCATGACATGAATACTGGTTGTCTGGATGAGGCAGATGAGAAATATAGCTACTTCTGAGAAAGGGCATTTGGTTTTCAGTTTACTGCAAAGGCTAAAGTTAAAGCCTATGGGAATTTCAGAAACCAATTCAATCAGAAGTACAAAACTTCTGATAACTAAAACTCTCTAACCAAATTTAAGAGCTAGAAAATATTTTAGCAATTATGGTCTGAAATTAACTGCAATAAAAATGTGGCCTATCATAGCATAGTCTCTCAACTATCTTCTCATCACTGTTCTCAATCCCCGCCTGCTCTTTTTTTTTTTAAGAAATATTACTCAAACCCTGTCTTTCAATTCTTTTATTCTTTATATTTGAACCTCAGCAAGGAATAATAGGCACTTGGTGAAGGTGTTCCACCTCCCACTGTCTTGACAAGGTCACAGTGAGGAGGACAAGTGTTTGGCAAGGTCACACTTGTGGGAAACCAAAACCATGAGACCCTTTTTTATGTAATTGGGACTGTTTATTTTATATTCAACCTGACAGAAGACATGAGTATACTTTAAATTTTAGATGGTCAAGTATATAGCAGGTGGTTCATGACTTAAAGGCTGTTTTACTATCTCTCAGGACATTGAGGACAAAACAGAAAAATATCAACAATCATTCTGGGAAATGTTACAGGAACTCTAGGCACCACAATTGATTGTATCAACTAAGAATCCAAGTTCATGTCTTCCGTCTCTCAAGTCTAAGCAGATAGTTATCATGCCTATCCCATGGAGCCCACCATATGTAGCCTATTTAATTAAAGATAGGTTATAGTATTCATTCAGGGGAGAAAAGGTTAGTAAAAATATACTTTCCTTCTAATAGACCCTACTTTACTTTACATAAGGATTTATGATAAGCATAGTTAATGTTAGCGGCAGGGGAATTACATACAGAGCCTGCCCTTTAGTTAAAGATTAGTAAGGAACTGCTGTACTTTGACTAAGGAAAATGGAAACTCTCTGAGAAAGCAGCTCAACCAGTTTTATGAGAATAAATGTAGACATTTTTAGATGCTTTTAGAATATAAGATTTTTATAAGGGGACTTTTAGATGGGATCTTAAGTACAGGTGTGTTTTAAACTTAAGAGATTACCGATTGGTTAGGAGAGAGAGTCTGGTTATGTAGTTTGGCTTCTGTTAAATAAGGAAATGTCAAATCCTGGAAATTGTAAATTGATGCATTTTATTAATAATTCTGTACCCATAATGATAAGAAAAAAATAGAATAAAAGGAGACAGAGAGAAAGCAGCTGACAGCTCTCTCTCTCTGGAGATTGCTCCAATGAAAGGACTCCTTGTCTCATCCCTTGCGCAGATGCCACTCATCCTTCAGGACCCCCTGGACCCCGCTGGGGCAGGACCCTGGCAGGCACTAAGCTGCACAATTAATCCTGCTCTGATCTGAAAGCTGAAATCACTATGCTATGAAAAGTTATTTAAAGAGAGAMAAATTATTKTCTACTTTGCTGAGAATACACAAAAGCATATTAATCCTATCAGGAATATGTTAGTAGGAAGTATTCATATGGGAAAAAGAATGGCTTTTAGGCTAGATATTTCCACAAGTTAA